TGATATCGTGCAGAATCCCTGTTGATCCCGAGTACGTGATTTTATTTTGCAAATCACACATGATTTATTTTATGCTGGCCGAGACGGGATGCGGCTTAGGCTGGCCGAGGTGCGTGCCTCCGGCCTATCACGGCCGAGGCAAAGCCTCGGCCGATCGTGGGCGAGGCGTGCACCCCGGCCGATCGCTCGTGGCCGAGGCGCACGTGGCCATGGCGTCGCCTTGGCCGATCGCGGTTGAGGCGTCGCTTCCACCGACCGTGGTCGAGGCGTGCACCTTGGCCGATCGTGGCCTAGGCGAGCTCCTTTTTTTTTTCTTTTTTTTTTTTTACGGACAGGCTGAGGCGCCGCCTCGGCCAATGGCTGAGACGCGGGCCTCGGCCTGGCCGAGGCGTGCGCCTCAGGCCCTCGGCCGAGGCGCTGCCTTAGCCGGTGACCGAGGCGTGCGCCTTAGGTCCTAGGCCGATGTGCTGCACCTCGGCAAATGGCCGAGACGCGTGCCTCGACCTGGCCGAGGCGTGCGCCTGGCGGTCCTTTTTTTTTTTTTTTTTTTTTTTCTTCTGCTGAGGCGTCACCTTAGCCGGGTTTGGCCGAGGCGTCGCCTCGGCCGTGGGCGCTGGCCGAGACGCGTGCCTCGGCCAGTGGCCGAGGACCGCGCTTCAAGCCTTTTTGTGGCTCGGCCTAAGGCGCCGCCTCAGTCGTGCCTTGGGCCGAGGCGTAAACCTCGGCCTTGGTTTTTTTTTTTTTTTTTTTTTTTTTTTTTTTTCTGGCTGAAGCGTCGCCTTAGTCGGGTTTGGCCGAGGCGTCGCCTCAGCCGTGGGCGCTAGCCGAGACGCGTGCCTCGGGCACTCGCCTTAGGCCATTTTACGGCTCGGCCTGAGGCGCCACCTCAGTCGTGCCTTGGGCCGAGGCGTTGCCTCAGTCCGCGCTAGGCCGAGCGTGCGCCTCGGCCTTGGTTTTTTTTTTTTTTTTTTTTTACAATGCGGCGTCGGCTGGCTTTTGTTTGATTCGAAGATGGTGTTGAGAATCTTTTATTTGAGCAAAGTAACCTGGGCAGACCATGATTGCAAAATATTGTTTACAGGTCTCGGCAGACCACGACTACAATGTATTACTTATAATATCTAATTAAATGTTCTGAGTTCCATACCCGATCGATCATCCTTGCAGATGGTGTGGATTTGTAGGTCCTTTCCGCCAATCTTTTTGCATGCTTTTACGTAACAACTGCGGGCTGCTCGCTGGTCTCTTCTGACGATTCCTATCCCACTCGGAGTAGGGAACTTCATACACATGTGTTCCACCGACACTATGGCCTTGAGGTCCTCTAGTGCCGGCCTCCCCAAAATGATGTTGTGCACACAAATGAGTCTTACCACGATGAATTCCATGTCAAGTTTGCGAATGTTAGGGCTTGTGCCTATCTCCACTGGTAAGACCATTAACCCCTCCGTCTCCACTGAATCACCTGTAAATCCAGAGAGTGGGGTACGTACTTCTTTGAGCTGGTTCCTAGGTATCTCTAACTTGGTGAAGGCATCGTACACATTGATTGAGTTTCCCGTGTCGACTAAGATGCGGCGGACAATGACATTGTTGATGTCCATCTCAATCACCAGGGCATCATGATGGGGTAACGGGCCCTCTGGGAGGTTATCATTAGAGAAAGTGATGGCCTCCTGTCTCTGTTTCTCTTCTCTAGGAAGACACACCACTTCTCTCACGTATAGCTGCCGGCTCCACTTCTTTCTTTCCGCAGGCGTGTCACCCCCTGCGGGTCCACCATAGATAAAGTGTATGGTGTGCTTATTTTGTCATCTGGGCGCCACCTCGATTTCTTTCTCACTATCATTCTGCTCAGATATTTAGTCGTGTTCTCTTTTTTTGGCGTTCGAGGTGGATGGCTCGGTGCCATCCTCATTCCTCCAGACATTTTTTGGTGGATTGTGTTGCGGCTGTTGCTGCTGCTTGGATCGCTTGACGAAATGTCGGAAGTAGCCCTGCTGGATGAGTTCTTCTATTTGTCTCTTCAAAACGTGACACTCATCCGTATCGTGGCCGGTTTGCCTATGAAACCTGCAGTACTTTGTTTGGTTCGCCTTCGGGGAGACCTTTATGCACTCCTCGGGGAATTCTACCATTCCCATCTCCTCAGCTTGCTTTAGAATGACACTGACGGGATGGGTAAGAGGAGTTAAATTATGCAAGGGGACCAGGCAAGGTCGTTCGTGGTCTCGGCCTTTCCCTGCAGTCGGGTGGTTCGAGAGTGGTGCCTGGCTGGGCGGACTCGCTTTCCCAGGCTTCCCACCTTTCCTACCATCCTCTTCGTCCTTCTTCTTCCTATCGACGTCCTCTGCTTCGGCATAGCGGCTAGCCGACCTTATCAGATCTTCGTAAGAGCGGGGGTGGTGGGCGTTCAGCTGCTTGTGGAAATACCCTGATCTTAAGGCATGGATAAATATCGGGATCGCCGCCTTAGAGTCGAAGTCGTAGACATTATTACACTACTACAGAAATCACATACAACGTCGGGTATTTAACGTCGGCTATATACATAGCCGACGTTAAATATATTAAAATTTTTTTTTTAAATTATTAGGTTTATAACGTCGGCTATTACCAAATAGCCGACGTTATAAACAAAAAATAATAATACAAAAGAAATATATAACCTACGACGTCGGCTATTTATACAGCCGACGTCATAGGTTATATTATTTTTTTTAAAAAAATAATAATTTATATATAACGTCGGCTATGTCTGTTTAGCCGACGTTATATACTAAAAAATAAATAAATAAATAAAATAAATATTATACGACGTCGGCTATCTATCTAGCCGACGTCGTATGGTTTTTAATTTGTTTTTAAATTTTTTTTTTACCTTATAACGTCGGCTAATTGAATTAGCCGACGTTATAAAGTTTTTAAAAAGAACAGATCTGAGACCGTTCTACCAGATCTACGCTACCATCACCACCGCTCTCTTCCATCCATCTCCTCCCCACCCCACCGCCGGCCTCACCGTCTCAGACCGCCGCCGTCCTCCACGCCGACGTCGTCCACCCACCGCTTCTTGCCGTCGACGTCGTCCATCCTCATACGCCCGACACCGTCGCGACTGTCCTTCCCCGCCGCCACAGTCCACAGCGCCGACGTCCTTCCACCGCCTGCTTTCCTCTCTTCCGACTGCTTCCGCCACCGTCCGCACATCTTCTCCGCACATCGCCGGCCACCGTCATCGCCAGGTAATTATTTTTTAATTATTAATAATTTCTTCGAATTTTAATAAATATATTTATAATTTAGGGTTTATTGTTATTATATTTGTTTTTATTGTTGATTTATTTCGAATTTTTGTAAATGTATATGCATTTTAGTGTTTAGATGATGACAGTGTTTAGTGTTTATCGTTTGGTTAAAATTATTGCCAGTGGAGTGGATTTGTATATTTTCTTAACGATTATGGCCCATTGAATAGCTTTGCAGTGATCCGTAGCTGAATTCTATACTTGACAGCTCTTTATTTCTGTTTAAGCTTTATTGTTGACTTACTTCAAAGTGTGCTATGACGACAAAATCAAATGTAGAGGTAGATGTGAGGGGTAAAGAGTTTCTAATGTTGAGCATCTATTTGTGAAACAAGCACCAAGCCACCAACACTTGCTGATGGGATACTAAATGTGCTCTTAGTAGTTAATAATTGCCTGAGAATGCAGAAATCCGAATTGGAAAATGTATGACAGATCCAAGGAATGACCAATGATGAATTCAATCACCTAATTTATCCAATTAGGTTTGCATAGGACTTGATCAAAATAGGGGGTGTGGCAAATCCATGCAACAACTTCCAGATACAAACTTAGTAGACTGGGAATTTTTTTATCAAACTATCCTTTCATATCTATTTGACTTGAATGGAAAATTAAATGCTTCTTGTTAAAGCACAGACTTGTTAGTCAATTTAATATAATTCAAAAGCTTGCAAGTCTATGTCTCCATGAAAGTTATTTCTTAAACAATTTGATGGGACTGAAAGTTTGAAAACTAAATGAAAGAATTGGTAAGGAAAATGATGAGGGTTATAAAACTGTTTTCCAGGTGTTTTCTTGTTCCAAGCTGAAATTTTAATGACTTTATCCTATATATGACTTTGAATTGGATGTATCATAGCCAGATTTATAGCGTTCTGTAAGACATTTTTTAAGATATGCGGTGTTCTATTTTTTTTTTTTTATTCCTTATAGTGTCATTTTCAAATCTGGTGCTTGTTTTTTACTACTATCTTTCTGTGCATAGTTTGATTATCTTGTACTATTTCATTTTTGTAATTGATAGTTCATGTTGATTGTTAATTGGTTATAAGATATGACTTACTTTTTTTTTTTTGATTTCTTTTATCAATTAAGTCAAATAATAGAAGAGATAATACTCTTTAAAAGTACACTTTATCACTTATCTATATGAGTAGATCAAATAAATTTTGAAAAGAAAATTGATATTTATAACTGCATGCAATTTACAAGAGTAATTTAATGTAATTGAAAAAAATAACCTATTGTTAATTCGATGCGTGGAGGGGAACCTAGAGTTGTCTGACCTACCTTGTGGATATGTTAAATATTTGATGTAATTTGTCATTCTTTTTTTTTTTTTTAATTTTTAAAAATATTTATATGCTATCTTTGAATTTAATACTACTAATAACTAGTCTAATTGGAATTAATATTATCCTAGATTGACTTGTGATGGATAAAAGTTGGATGAAAGCTTCTCGATTGAGTACGGAATATGATGCCGGAGTTAGAGAATTTATAGAGTTTGCAAAATGTCATCTTCCAAATAATGATGGAACATTTTGGTGTCCTTGTAAGAAGTGTTGTAATCTAAAACTATTAAGTGCCAATGACATATATGATCATCTAATTTGTGATGGAATTAATCTAAATTATACAAAATGGATATGGCACGGTGAAGGAGGGAGAGAGACTAGTACATCTAACATGTATGTTGACAACGAAGCAAATGAAGATGATGAATCTGAAGATAGGTTGGACGAAATGTTCCGTGATGTTGGAGAAGAGTTCACAAATCGATCAAATGAGTTGGATGAATTATTAAATGATTCAAAACAGCCTTTATGGCCCGGGTGTAGTAAATATACTCGCTTATCTGCTGTTTTGAAATTATTCAACTTAAAAGCTGGGAATGGATGGAGCGACAAGAGCTTTACTGCTTTACTTGATTTAATAAACGATATGCTTCCAGAAGATAATGGACTCCCGAAGAGTACATATGATGCAAAGAAGATTATGTGTCCCATAGGTATGGAGTATGAAAAGATACATGCTTGTCCTAACGATTGCATATTGTTTAGGAATGATTACAAAGAATTGAATGCATGTCCGATCTGTGGGGCATCTCGGTACAAAATAAGAGAGCATGTTGTTGGTAAGGCAAGTTCGAAAGGGCCACTAGCTAAAGTTATGTGGTATCTCCCAATTCTTCCAAGATTTAAGCGTATGTTTGCAAATCCAAGCGACGCGAAGAACTTAACATGGCATGCAGATCAAAAAATTTCTGATGGAAAGCTTCGACACCCAGCTGATTCTACTCAATGGAAAACCTTTGATAATGTTTTTCCTGAATTTGGCAATGAGTCCAGAAATCTTAGACTTGGCCTTTGTACAGATGGTATAAACCCTCACGGGAACCTAAGTAGCAAGCATAGCTCGTGGCCAGTTATGTTAGTGATTTATAATCTACCTCCTTGGTTGTGTATGAAACGCAAATATATATTACTGTCCTTGATGATTTCTGGCCCAAAACAACCCGGTAATGATATAGATGTCTTTTTGGCACCTTTGATTGATGACTTGAAAAAATTGTGGGATGAAGGTGTGTTAGTGTTCGATGCCTACCGGAAAGAGAATTTTAAGTTGCATGCTATGCTTTTTTGCACAATCAATGACTTTCCAGCTTATGGAAACCTGGCTGGGTATAGTGTCAAAGGACATAAGGCATGCCCTATACGTGAAGATAATACATGTTATACACAACTTGTCCATGGCAGAAAGACAGTCTACTTGGGTCACCGGAGGTTTCTTGATAGAGCTCACCCTTACAGGAGATTAAAAAAGGCTTTCAATGGGCAACAAGACTATACAGATGCTCCACAACCAATGACTGGGATTGAAGTTTATGAACGTGTGAAAGGTATAAATGTTACTTTTGGTAAAACTCAAAAGCTTAAATCTCAAAGAGGTAAGAGGTCAAGAGCTAATGTTGAGGTACCTCCAAATGAAAAGAGTCCATGGAAAAAGAAATCCATATTTTTTGATCTTCCATATTGGAAGACATTAGATGTGAGACATAGTATTGATGTGATGCATGTGGAGAAAAATGTGTGTGATAGTCTTGTTGGAACTCTTTTAGATATAAAAGGTAAGACTAAAGATGGACTCAATGCTAGATTAGACTTGATTGAAATGAACATAAGAGCAACATTAGCTCCACGCCAAGGGGATAAGAAGACATATTTGCCACCAGCTGCTCATACTTTATCAAGAAAGGAGAAAATAAGTTTTTGTGAGTGTTTACGTGGAGTCAAGGTACCACAATGGTACTCATCAAATATTAGAACACTTGTGAATATGCAAGATTTAAAATTGGTGGGATTGAAATCTCATGATTGCCATGCCTTAATGCAGCAACTATTGCCAGTGGCTGTTAGAGGTATATTGCCCAAAAAGTTGAGATATACTATTATAAGGTTTTGTTTCTTTTTCAATGCTATCTGTGGAAAAGTGATTGATCCAGACAAACTAGATGAATTGCAAAATGGCATTATTGTTACATTGTGTCAGTTGGAGATGTATTTTCCACCGTCATTTTTTGATGTCATGGTTCATTTGGTTGTACATCTGGTGCGAGAGATCAAACAGTGCGGTCCTGCTTATTTGAGGTGGATGTACCCATTTGAACGGTACATGAAAGTCTTAAAAGGTTATGTGAGGAACCGGTATCGACCAGAAGCATCTATTGTTGAAAGCTATATTGCTGAGGAGGTAACTGAATTTTGTACTGAATATTTGGCGGGGGTAGAAGCTATTGGTCTTTCTAAGTATCGACATGAAGGAAGAAGTGCTGGGAAAGGTACTCGAGGACGCAAAGTAGCCGGTATGCCTCGTGAAGATATTGAGGAAGCACATTTGTACATCTTGCATAATACAAGTGAAGTCGAGCCATATTTAGATGAGCACAAGGCACTGACTAAAGAGCAAAATCCAAGAAAGACAGACATGTGGATTGTGAGCGAACATAATCGTACTTTTATTAGTTGGTTCAAGAATAAAGTTCTGAGTGCTACTAACTATTCTGAAACAGTACGATGGTTAGCTCATGGTCCTTGTATGCAAGTCATATGTTATACTGGATATGATATAAATGGATTTTCTTTTTATACAAAAAAATAAGATGAAAAGAGCACTATGCAAAACAGTGGAGTTTCTTTGGTTGCAAATTCAGTGCACTTCAGTAGTTCAAAAGATAAAAATCCAGTCATTGCAGAGTTGTCATATTATGGTGTGATTGAAGAAATATGGGAGGTTGATTATGTTCAGTTCAAAGTGCCGATGTTCCGATGTAAATGGGTAGATAGTAAACACGGTGTTAAAGCTGATGAGTTAGGGTTTACACTTGTCGATTTGAACAGGGAAGGTCACAAAAATGAGCAATTCATAATGGCATCTCAAGCAAAACAAGTATTTTTTGTTACTGATCCTAGTGATAAAAAATGGTCTGTTGTTCTTCATGGAAAGAGACAAATTACTGGTGATGGGAATGAAGATGTTAGTTATGAGATTGAGGAAATACCACCCTTTTCTTCAAGTTTATTACTAGTTATTATAGATAATGAGATAGATGAAGTGCATGCATCACGTGATGATCATCATGAAGGGCTATGGGAGAATTGATTGTTATTTGTAATGCTTTAACTTCTTCTTGTGTTTACTATATCTAAATATTTACAGTTATATTTATGTATATTATTCTTTTGTCAATTCACTAATAATTTCTTTGCTAAACAGGCATATGGATTCATCAAATGACCCCCCTGTTGATAGTACCATCCAAGCTAAAAGTACTAAGAAGAGGCGGGGTGCCACCGTTATGACAAAATTAATTTCTGGGCGTGGTGACACAAAATTGGTGGTTCAATTTAATAAGAAACACGAACCTGTTGGGCCAGGGAGCACCCAATTCAAAAGTTACTTTGCGTTGATTGCACGGAGCAAAGTTCCAATCACATATAAAAATTGGAAAGAGGTCCCAGAAGAGAGTAAAGCGCTGCTGTGGGATGATATCATGGTATGCAACTTATTTATAAAACTATTGAATTAATTGTATTTAATTTGTTTCTAATAAGTAATCTTGTCTTGCAGAGCGTTTATGATATTCTCACTGATGATGTGGATCTGAAGAATTCTTTGATGTCATATGCGGGTGAACGGTGGAGAGATTTTAAAGCTAGATTGAACAGAGAGTACATATTCCATAATGAAGATCCAATAAAGAATACTCCATGTCAAACATACACATTTATTGATCCAAATACATGGAAAACGTACGTGGAGCGGCGTAAAACTGCAGAGTTTGAGGTATATATTGTAATTTTTCTATCAATTATTTATTAACTCAAATATATTAAAGATATATATTTTTACTTAATGTTTTCTTTTTGTGTAGGAATCAAGAAGGAAACATCAAGAAATACGGAGTAAGAATGTTCATCCACATCATTTAGCCCGAGGAGGCTATAAGAGATTGGAGAAGATTATGATGGATGAGAAGATGAAAGAACAAGAAGAAGCTGCAAGATCAGATCCATCGTCAGTAGTTGTTCCTCCATCTCCGCCAGCTAGACATGAAAAGTGGAAGAGGGCAAGAATGGACAAATCAGGAAATATCAACAATGAAGCGACTAGAATGGTCGTGGAAAAGATTGTAAGTAAAATGTTAAAATTTTCTACATTATTAAGATAGCTAGTAATCATTATTAAATATTGTTTTTATATGTTAGGATTTGCTATCATTGCAAGCTTCTCAAGGAGAGTTTGTTGAGTCCGGTACACAAGATATATTGTCTAGTGCCATAGGTACAGATGAGCATTGCGGACGTGTTAGAGCCATGGGTAGAGCACATGGCTTAAAAAGCTACTTTGGTCCTGCAAAACGTCGTCAAAGCCAGTCTACACCAGAAGTGAAAGATATGATTAAGACAGCAGTTGCTGAGGCGTTAGCAGTTGCCCGAGAGCAATATGAAACATCCTTGCAAGCAGCCATTCGAGAGATGAGGGATGAAATTAGCAGTATGAGGACTCCAGCGGCTCAACCTGTACCATCAAGGCAGGAGGAAGACATGCGTGTAGCTGTCCAACCACATGGTCAAAGTGAAAAAGCAAGCTCTCCAGACCCTTTTGCTGATTTACCGGCCGTAAGTAATCATTTATAACTAATCTTATTATTTATTAAAAACATTTTACCTATTTCTTAATATGAATTCATGCAGTTAGGAGCCGGATGTGAATTGTTTTTGGAAGATCCCATTAGACGTAAAGTTGCACGTGGGATAGTTTACAAGGCCGAAAGGGTTCACGGGATACAAATACATGCGGATCAAGTGAAGGTCACCGTGACTGAAATTCTCGTGTCAAGTGCAAGTGTACCCTTCCCTACCGATGAGGTTCAACTGTTAAGGGATGCATTGCACAACTTTATTATTTGGCCAAAGAAGTTGGTTGAGTTGTATACCGAAGGTGATGAGGTATGTATTTTAAAAAATTTTGGATTTTAAAATAGTGTTTAATTTACTTTTTAAAAATAGTAATTGTTAGTTATATTGAACAGGTACAAAAGACTTATGATTCCGGTGTGCAACGACCTTTTGTTGATCTGAATATAGCTGATCCGTCTTCTTTGAGTCCTCGATGTCTAAAGGTATATAGAATTATTCGCAAACTTGATGAAAATGTTGTGATAAAGATGGAGCGTGGTATTGTGGGCGATGTTGACTATCGCTTACAACTTGACCCGTTGGAGATTATGCGTTTCTTAAGGATGGAGACGTTAGATGTTTCCATATTGCAGTTCTTTATAAGGTAATAATTAAGTTCTTTACTTATATTTGTTTATATAATATTTGTCATTCATTTATTATATTACTGATATATATGATTGATTGTATTTTTGAATAGGGGTCTTTATGACAAATTTGAATTGGCATCAAAGACCACATATGGCTTCTTAGATCCGCATTTCATTCAACCAGTTTCAAATACTATAGATGAACGGACAGGGTATATCAACGTCACCATGCAATATGGCCAAAAACAATGCTATCTAGCGCCATATATTTTAAAGTAAGTTTTAATTGTTTAAAATAAAATAACTTATATATAATACACTTTTATTATATATTATATTTACTTACAACTAATATATTGTTGATTTGTAGTGATCATTGGATGTTGATGGCAATTTGTCCTCAAGTTAATGAAATCTATTGGTTTGATTCAATTGAAGGCCAGCCACGTGATGACATCAAAGATATTGTTGAAAAGTATGTGAACTTATAAGTATTAATATGTATAATTAGTAAAGTATAAAGTATTTATGTAAACTAATCTCTTATAATTTTAGGTGTGTCAATTCAGCAAAGTTGTTGAGAAGCAATGGATCAACTCGTTCACCAAAATGGACTAAGGTTTTGGTAAGTATTTTATACATTTGTAAAACTACATATATTTTATTGTTTTTTATTAAATAAAATTTTAAATGTAATTTAATTCAAATGTAGTGTGCTCAACAAGTTGGAAGTACGGCATGTGGATATTATGTGATGAAATACATGCTTGAAATTCTTTCCAAAGAAGCATGTGCGGGAATGGATAAGGCATGTAATTTAATATAATACCTTTCTTTTTCTAATTTTAAAAATGCTAGCTTACTAATTATTTAATAATTATCAACTTTGTAGATTGTTGAGAGAGTTGGTAGATCGAGCTACACTCAACAAGAAATTGATCAAGTAAGAGATGTATGGGCCGACTTCTTTGTTGATGTATGGTTAAGTATGTAAATTAAACAAATTGATATTAGCTTTTGATAATGTTAAGTTGTATTATTAATTAGTATCAAATTGTGAGATTCATCACTTTTATTACTTGTTTCATTATAAATATTAGATTTTACATATTTTGCTGTGGTTGTGGTGAAATAATTGAGCAGGTTTTGGTTGTGGTTGTGCAAATTGAGCAGGTTTAGGTTGTGGTTGTCGTTGTGAGAAATTGAGCAGGTTTAGGTTGTGGTTGTGAGTAGATTTGAGCAGGTTTTTGGGTATAAATGGACAAATAAACTGTATATTAAAAAAATAAAAAAACACTTACAACGTCGGCTATTAAGTAATAGCCGACGTTGAATATATTTAAAAAAAAAAATAAAGTTTACAACGTCGGCTAATAGCATTTAGCCGACGTTGTAGGTATTTTAAAAATAATTAAAATACTTACAACGTCGGCTAATTGCTAATAGCCGACGTGGTAGGTGTTTTAAATTATTTTTAAAATACTTACAACGTCGGCTAAATTCTATTCGCCGACGTTGTAAGTATTTTAATTATTTTTAAAATACCATACAACGTCGGCTAAATGCTATTAGCCGACGTTGTAAGTATTTTAATTATTTTTTAAAATACCATACAACGTCGGCTAAATGCTATTAGCCGACGTTGTAAACTTTATTTCTTTTTTTTTAAATAATATATAACGTCGGCTATATAAATAGCCGACGTTATAGATAATATTTACAACGTCGCCCGCAACAACTACGTATCTTAGCCGACGTTAAAAGGTCTATTTAGCCGACGTTAAAAGCCTGCTGTGTAGTAGTGTTAACTTCCTTTTTCCATTTTATCAGGAAGTCTTTGAGGCTCTCGCCTCTATCTTGCTTCACTACATAGAGGTGAGAGAAGGGTTTCTTACGCTGTATGCTACCGGAGAAGTATGTCAGGAAGCTCTTGGACAACTCCCCAAAGTTTTGGATCGACCCATCCGGGATGGTGTTGAACCAGTCTTGGGCCGCTCCGTCCAGGGTGGACAAGAACGCTCGGCACATGATGGCGTCCCCTGCCCCAATCATTACCATAGCAGCCTTGTACCTCGTCATGTGGACGCGTGGGTCAGTGGCCCCCGTGTACTCCTTGATGGCGGGCAACCTAAAGTCCCTCGACAAAGGTACGTCCATGATGCTCGGGGAGAATGGTGCTGCCATCCGTACCTCGGGTTCCGGCGACTGCTCCCGTGCCTCCACCCTTCTTGCTAACTCCTCGATTCTTCTCTGCAGCCTCTCGACCAGGGCCAACTCGTCAGGGTGCCGACGCGGGGCCGGCTGCCGCTCCTCCATGTGTCGGCGTGGAGCTAATTCATCGACGTGCCGTCTATCTGAGTGTCGGTGTGGGACCCGCTCATCAGCGCGTCGCTTCTCCGCCGAGTGCCGACGCGGAGCCGGCTCATCGACCCGTCGCTCCTCCAAGTGTCGACGTAGGGCCGACTCATCAACGTGTCGGCGTGGGGTCGGCTCACGAGACTCGCCCACCTCCTCTGTGGGTGATCTCTCGGCTTCTCTATTTTCGTGTTGGCGAGGGCCTCTGGTAGAGGACCCCTCAGCCCGTGATCCTAATCTTTGCCGCACGGGCGCCCTCTGTCCCAATCGTTCTGGTGCAGATTGGGAAGGGCCTAGTTGTCGTCTGGCCGGTCCACTTCTTTGGGTCTCTACCCTTATTTCCTGGGGCCGCGGCGGGGGCACTTGGCCTTGCAGTCCCACCGCCACCTGATTTAGCGCAGCCGTCACTGCTTGCTGAATGACATCGGCGGTCGCCTGGAGGTTCACGGCTTGGTTCGCCCCTCCATTGTTGAGTTGGTCTCGAAGGTCCCCGGGCCTCCCGTTGTTGAGCTGTTCTTGAAGGTCCCCTCCGCAGTTGTTGGTGAGTTGGTCCCGGAGGTCACCTGAGGCACTGCCATTGTTCACGTTGCGGGAACCGTCGGAGCTGTGGGACACCATTTTTTCAAGCTTGCTGTTGAAAGATGAATGTGTTGTGTAGTCGCCTGCTTGAGTGTTGGACTCAGGCTCTCAATGAAAGCACCAATGACGGTAATAATGTTACCGGTAATAATATTAGAATAACAAATGATATGACAAAGTAACAATAGATGTATTGCCCTAGTCTCTGTATGGAAAGTACAATGTGTCTCTTAGTATCGAGTATTGAACGTGTCTCCCTAGCTGAGGAGAAGTCCTATTTATATCAAGTACTAACGGTAATGACATGATGAGACATAATGAGGAGCCTTTATTCCTCTTTCTTCAATGGGCATCAATAGTGGCTTCAATGGCCATATAGGAAACACCTGTTGGAATTCTATCCGTTGGGTTTCCAGGTGGTGCCGGGTCAGATGCCCACTTATGATCCGGGTCGGGTGCCAGTCCTATTATCCTGTCACCTAGTAATTATATTCATCTCTACCAAACAATGTAATTTGAATTCCTACTTTATTTTTTTTTCCTACCAAATTACAATTCCTTTTCTCATAATTTCCTTCTCCCAACCAAACGGCCTGTTAGTACAATCATTATTGCGTGGACCGTGGTCGACATAGCTGTGTGGATCACAGTAAAAAAACACATAAAATACATTATTCTAACGCATAAAAACGTTATTCTAACACATAAAGTACATTATTCTAACTCATAAAATATATTATCTTATTCCGGAAATTTCATTATTCTAACACATAAAATACATTATACATTATTCTAACATATAAAGTATATTATTTTAACTCATAAAATACATTATCTTACTCCAGAAATTTCATTATTCTAACACAAAGTACATTATTTTAATTAATAAATTACATTATCTTACATGAAAATTGTTTATTATTCTAACACGTGCGGGATTAGGATATTTTTTTAACATTAAAATGACAATATTTTGGCTTATAGTCTACACAATTGTATGAATTACAATTCACAACATCAATTTGCCAAGGACGAAGTCATCGGATTCAGAAAGAAACAACTGAAAACAACGTTGTAATTAGTTCATGTTTCAGGTTTTCATGCCCAAAGCCTAAAATTTAGAAAAATTTTCACTTGAAAATCCAAAAGCCCATGCATTTACTATCTAATAGTTAATGTGTTGTAATTAGTTCATGTTTCAGGTTTACATGCCCAAAGCCTAAAATTTAGAAAAAATTTTGGTGTAATATATTTCTAACACATATTATTTTAACACCTAATATATATTATATAAACACATAATATACATTATTCTAACACATAATTTACATTATTGTTACTCATAATATTCAACGACGTCATTTTGTAGCGTGATCCACAGAACTGTGTGGACCATGATTCACGCAATAACTTGTCTTTATTATTGGCAAATCTTATTATGGACCATGATGCATATAGCAATGTAAATCATGAAGTAAGTATCATTCTAATTATACTTCAGTTTCATTTGACAGTATTGTTCTGTTTTTCAGTTTTATTTTTCATATAAACACTAGTTTCATTATAACAATATCAATGTATTATTTAATTGTACTGCAGTTTCATTTGACAATATACATTATTGCATGAGCTCTATTTTATAGTTCATTTTCCACATACACTAGTTTAATTATAGTAATATTAAAGTATTATTTTAATTACACTCTAGCTTCATTTGACAATATATGTTATTGTATAGCTCTAGATTTTAGTTTCATTTTTTCACACACACTAGTTTCATTATAACAACATTAAAGTATCATTTTAATAATACTACAGTTTCATTTGACAATATGCGTTATTCAACAAGCTTTGTTTTTTAGTTTCATTTTTCACACACACTAGTTTCATTGTAACAACACTAAAGTATTATTTTAATTCTACTACAATTTAATTTGACAATTATGGTCCACTGTATAACGATTGTTTACTATCATTAGTTAAGAATGAAGTTAGATATATATATATATATATATATATATATATATATATATATATATATATATATATATATATATATAAGGGATCATGTGCATTTGAGGCTTTCCGTGCGATTGTGCGGTTGGAAGCACATTAATTAAGCATTACACTGACGCACTTTAAGTACACAACACATGCACATTAAACACACAAACAAAATACATTCAGAAAACAAACTCACGCACATTAAATACAAAAGTCAGACATCTTAAGCACAACCCTCACGCACCTTAAGCACAAAACTCACGCACGTTAAGCACAAAAACATAGGCACCTCAAGGTTTAACAACAACTCACATTAAGTACACACTTACGCACATTAAGTACAACACTCACGCGCCTTAAACACAATACTCACGCATCTTAAGCACAAAACTCATGCACTTTAAAGTTTAAACAACTCACATTAAGTACACATTCACGTACATTAAGCACAAAACTCACGCACCCTAAGCACAACACTCACACACCTTAAGTAAAAAACTCACGCACATTAACATTACACACTCACGCACATTAAGTACAAATCTCAGGCACATTAAACACAAATCTCACGTACATTGAGTACAAAACTCATGCACATTAATCAACCGCACAATCGCACGGGAAGCATTTAACAGCACTGAAACCTTTCAAAATATATATATATATATATATATATATATATATATATATATATATATATATATATATATATATATATATATATATTAAAAAAACAGTAAAAACTCTACTGTACCTATAAATACTATGGTGAGGAGCTTGAGTTGGACAATTATATTAGCAAAGCAATAGAAAATGATACCGGTATCTCACCTCTCCAAACTGGGCATATACGACGTTGAAATCGGCGGCGTGGAGGTGAAGGCTCGAGTAATCAACGACGGCAAGGTCTTGAGCGCAGCCCTGGGCGAGTTGGAGTGCGATGGGGAGCACCCAATCGTGGGGTTAGATGTGAAGGTATGCCGCTCCAACTTCTTCTTCGGAACACGAAGATGCGCTCTCCTCATACTCTCCACCAGATCCAACTGCTTAATCATACAATTGAACGTCATGAGACGCAAAAACCGCACCATCCCAGAAGCCCTCACAGATTTCCTGAGAAATAAAAGTGTGTGCTTTGTGTGCCCCAATGGGTTCGTGAAGAGGGTGCGTGGCCTCTCGTTTCGATACGAAGGGACTGACGGGATTGTATTGGGGTTTAGGGGTTGGGGGGAGGAGATCAGATATTTTTATCCTACCATATCCAAGTGCTTCAAATGTGAAGAGATTGGGGCTGTGGAAGTTGGGCAATACGCTGCTGGTGTTCTGAAAAACCCAGAGCTTCTCAACTGCAAATCTCTTGAAAAACTGGGTAGGAAAGCTGAGGTTGAGCTCACTAGCTCATCAGGTGGAAATTCAAGACGTCCCAAGTGGGATTCAGAGGTTTTCTCCGAGGAGGAAGTTAGGTGTGTGATGCATGACGCGGTTGCGTGCTACCGGATTGTCGACAAGATCCTTCATGTAATATGATCTCATCTATTTCTTGTTTACTTCAATTTTATTGCAAGGATTATAGTTTTTTAGTTTTAATGAACTAGTTAAAAATATAAGGAATAAGGTTCAAATAGGCCATCGAACTGCACACGATAAAACAATTAGGCCATTGAACTTAAAAAATCAACAATTAGGTCCCTAAACTAATCAATTTCAAACAATTCTTCCAATTTGAAGGTTTCCAACAGGTCAACAGGTCATCTCCCAATTTGAGACGATCCGGCTGGAACCAGTTTTTTTTTTTTTTTTTTTTTTTTTAAATTTAAATAATTAATTTTTAAAATATAAATTTTAAAAAATAATTAATTTGGAAGGATGACCTGTTGGAAACCTTCTAATTAAAAGAATTGTTTGAAATTGATTAGTTTAGGGACCCAATTGTTGGTTTTTTAAGTTCAGTGGCCTAATTGTTTTATTGTGTGCAGTTCGATGGCCTATTTGACCCTTATTCCAAAATATAATGAGTTTATCACAAAACAGCATTATATTGGCTCAAGTAATAAAAAAAAAAAAAATCGAGTCATTCACACGATTAGGACGGGTCTGTATGACGGGATACAAAAGTAGGACACTTTTTAAAAGCAAACAAAGATAGGAAAAGTGATTTCATGGAACCATATGTTTGGTTAACATAAAATGCAATCTAGAGTGCATGTTACCTTTTTAAGAAAAAAAATAGTTTCAATATAAAAGAATGTAGTATTATATGTGTATGTGCATAGTATTGTAAAAGTTAATATATACGTATAAGTGTATGTTTTTTTTTTCTTTTTTCTTTTTTTTTTTTTGTGAAAAACATATACTTGTTTTTAGTTAATTATTACATAATCATTTGTAGTGCATTAATAATGCATAGTAGTTAGTTAATTATTACATAATCATTTCGAAAATTAAATGTAATTAGTAATAATTTGTAATTAGTGTATAATAATAATGAAAATAAATTGTTTAATTATTAGGAATCATAAAAGTAATAAAATTAGTAATAATTACATAATGACTACAATTTGTTGTACTTAGATAAATAAAATTAGTAATTTGTTGTATTTAGATAAATAAAATTAGTAATTATAGTTGTAATATAATAAGATAAAATAATTTATGATTATTTAGTAATAAATATTATTTATAAAATAATATTTATTATTATGTAAATGTTTAAAAAATAAATAGAATAATAATATGCTTGTAAATAAAAGAGAGTGATAAGTTGTCTTCATATTTATGATTCATTTAACAAGTTCAGTTCACCATACATGTTGTCGTGAATGTAATATTCAACTGACCATGGATAAATATTGTCAACATTACATTTACCAATCAAAATAATTAGTACGGCGATGTCTTCTGTATTGAATAGTACAACATTATCTGTTTCATCAATTTGGAAATATGTTTCTCTTTCGTCCTACATCAGTGCGAATAGTCTTGCATTGAAGTAGAGCTCTAGTTCTCGATTTCCAACAATTAGCTTTAAACTGTCGCAGAAGACTTGGGAGTTGTTGAGAAATGTACACAACAAATGGGTGTTAGTTTGCCTACTGTTTAATTTTAGATGTGGACCTAATTGTAAATGCAGAGCCTCTCACCCTCTCACGGGTGAATTCGCCGTGATATGCAGAGCCTATGTTTAATTTTATATATGGACCTAATACCCACGGTAAACAGATTGCTGCAGATATAAGAAAAATATCACCACCCAAATCCCCATTATTCATATAACATGGCCATGGCTTACCTTCACCCAAACACAATCAGAAAAACTTAGCAAGTTTAGAGCTTACCTATAGGTTTCTGTCAGTTTGAAGTAAGAAGTGTAAATGTCGCCGGTTTCTGCCTCAAACACCGCACGGCATCGACCACCACAAACCACCGCACGCCGCCGTCCACCACCCGAACAGACGCCGATCGATGCCGCGCTGTTATACTGCTTCGTCTTTGTCGTCTCCCTATAGATAACCGAACATAAAAAGGGGAAGGGAGAAGAATAATAAAATAAGTAGGGTTTTCCAATTTATTAATACGTAAATTTGTATTTATTAATGTGTATACTGATAGAATAATATAATATGCATGTCTTATTATTATTATTATTATTATTATTATTATTATTATTATTATTATTATTATTATTATTATCATTTATAATAATAAAAATAATAATATTAGTCAAAGAGAAGAAGTCATGGCAAGCGAATAGGGAAGGCTACGGGAAGTTATAACTCTCAGGAAGTTACTTTATATAAAGGCTCAGGAAGACAGAGGAAGGATTCACGCCAGTCTCAAATATAAACCTTTCTTATACATACACTTTCTCTCAACCATTCCATGGCCATTGCCACCTATGTACATGTACTACAAGTACAACTTAGTGGATTTCGGCTTGGCTTAGCCCAAAAAGGCGCGTTGTTTTCACCGTATTGGTTTCCACGTTAAATATCTTTGTGTCATGTCTATTTATTTATTGATTCCCTGCAATCACCACTTTACATTATTCATATTTTCTTAGGGAGATTGTTGATTCGTATAAATACATACCCTGGGTCGTACCCTGGATCAGTTTTCTCCGTCAATGGTGCTCTTGTCGAGAGCGGCTGTACAAGCTTAAACATGCTCTCTCTCCTATCTATCCCTAGCTGATTAAAGACTCAAGTTTAATTTGTTCTCCATTCATATCTCACAACGAAATATATTATTCATCTTTATGATATTCATCTTTATATTGGTCATCTTTTTTCATGATTACATGCATTTATACACAATTCTTTCCTTGATTTGGAAGCTTGAAATGCGGAGATTCTAACACTATAATAACCGCTTGAGATTGGGTTTTCCTTTGTTCCTTGAATGAGATCGAAGCAGGAGGCCAAAGAAACAATGAATGCAGTGGCCAGTTCCTCCGCTGCCTTCCGGGTATAAGGAGGATTATCCTCATTATACTGGCTTTCACTATTTTCAAAGCCAGAAAGCCTATACTACCGTCGATTCCGATCTCTCCTTCGACATGCTCCGACTCGCCGTCCGCCTCAATCTCACCCTCGACACCGACGTCTCCTTCTAGAACCCTAACTGCGTTGGCTTCAATTATACGACAACAGCTCCGTCCTACTCAAGTACAGGCGAGTGGCGAGTGGACGTCGGCGACGCTCCCATTCCCGCCGGCAAGATTGGGGCTAGCCAGATCGTCCCATGAACATCTCCCTCCCTATCATGGCAGATTGGCAGATCACCTTCTTTCCAATAATCAGCTCTTCTCCGACAGTCATGAGGATTTTTTTTTTTTGGAAGAAATACTAGAGACGAGATGCCGAGAACTGTTGTTACCGAAGCGCTGCAACTTGAATTGTTGTTGCCAGGTGTGATGCCGCAAAGGCTATCGCAGTTGATTCTAAAGAATTACAATATAAGTGATGAATCCCAACTAGGCATTGAAATTCAAAAAGATAAGTTTCTCTAATCAATAAATTTCTTTATATTATTATTGTTATAATAATAATTATTATTATTTAATAATTTGATGCGGCCAACTGCTAATTTATTCAAACAACGACATACTTTGGCAAGCTCCGTGCTGCCACCCACATAATATAATATGGTACGCTCTGTGCTACGTACCAATTGTATTGCAAGGCAAGCCCTGCGCTGCCACCTAAATTATAGGGTAAGCTTTGCGCTACCTCTTACAACTATCGCTTCATCGAATAAATTTGGTGTTGGTCACAATAAATTAAAAGAAGATAGCGATTTCCGAACCTATCTTCAATTTTAATTTTATATTTAAACAAATACTAAGTGCATGGCGCTAATCACTTGTCAAACATATGTCAATTATAGGAAATAGCCATAATGAACCCCTAGGTACTCCGTGTACCTAACTGTGAGTTTCATTATCATCTTCAATGCTCCGAGCAGGGAAGTCAGAACTTTGGTGCTCCGCGCACAAACATACTTTAATCTGGTGCTCCGTGTACAAAGATACCTTGGTGCTCTGCGCACAAACATGTAGTCCGACTACACGGCTCTTTAAGGATGCGCTCCGAATGTCATTTTTATTTCGTGAACATTAGTTTCTACTTTCTTATACTGACAAATACTTGCACTTAAGAAAGTTGGGGACTCATGATGGAATAATATAATATGCATGTCATATTATTGTTGTTATTATTATTATTATTATTATTATTATTATTATTATTATTATTATTATTATTATTATTATTATTATTATTATTATTATTATTATCATTTATAATAATAAAAATAATAATATTAGTCAAAGAGAAGAAGTCATGGCAAGCGAATAGGAAAGGCTACGAGAAGTTATAACTGTCAGGAAGTTACTTTATATAAAGGCTCAGGAAGACAGAGGAAGGATTCACGCCAGTCTCAAATATAAACCTTTCTTATACATATACTTTCTCTCAACCATTCCATGGCCATGGCCACCTATGTACATGTACTACACCTACAACTTAGTGGATTTCGGCTTGGCTTAGCCCAAAAAGGCTCGTGGTTTTCACCGTGTTGGTTTCCACGTTAAATATCTTTGTGTCCTGTTTATTTATTTATTGATTCCCTGCAATCACCACTTTACATTATTCATATTTTCTTAGGGAGATTGTTGATTCGTATAAATACATACCCTGGGTCGTACCCTGGATCAATTTTCTCCATCATATACATTTATCGTATTATCCCCGTACTATCTACGTATAATGTATCGTACTCTCCCTGAGAATACATTTTATTAAAAGCTAATAATGCATTCTTCATATGCATGTTTAAAAAAGTGAACATGCATTCCTCAATGTAGCTTTTCTTATGTTTGTGTCTCAAAAAAAAATCGTCCTACTTTTGTATTTCAAGTTACGCTGCCGCGACGAAAGTCTTATCTATGATCTAGCTTTATTCTCTTCCGCAGCGACAACACGAAACCTTCAGATATCTTCATTTCCATTTTGCAAAAAGGGTCTTCATTTCAATAGTTG